ACATACACATACCACCTTCACAGCTCACTTAAAAACATGGTTCACTGAGAACTACACCTGCACACACTAGTCTGTGATGAGTATGGCGTGAGTGTTACATGTTGTTTTACATGTTGTGTTACATGTTGTGATCATGGATGTTGCCCCTCGTTTCTGTTATGTGATTGTGATGTGCTATATGTGATATGTACTGTATGTAGTAACGTGTGTTGTTTATTGTTCTCTTTTATCCTCACACCGGTATCTATTTGTCTTTCCTCCTTTTTATTTTATTTTATATATTTTCTTACTAACTAATGCTGTTGATATATTGTAATTTTAAGGGTGTCTATTACCATCTGGCCGGGGACAACAGCTGGAAATTAGCCATGTCGGCTAAAGCTGCACCATTTACTGTTTTTGTGACAGTTCATCGATGGGGACTGTCCACGACACTATGAATAAATAAACTAAAAACTAAACTAAACTAGCTCAGCTTGTTGCTCTGATAACTTAAGATCCAGAAGTCCGTGACTAAAAAATCCTTCATCCGGTTAAATATAGTTTAAAAAATACCAATTGTATAGCATTAAAGTTCAAGAAAGGATGGTTTGCGGGAAAAAAAACGGTCTTTTCTTCAATTCCTGTATGTTTTCATATCGCAATATATATCGCATGGGGGGGGGGAAATCGCAATGTCAGTTTTTTCCAATATCGTGCAGCCCTAATTACTACCATTATTAATTGATTTGTTTCCATCTTTCGGTAAGATAACATTTAAGCTGACCCTCAGATATTTGAAAACTTCTAAACATAAGTGCGGTCAAGCTAATGCCGCCATGTAAAATAGAGTTTTTTTATGTTAATCAATCTTGATTCATTACCAAAAGAATATGAGCGATGCGCACAGCTACCTAATGAACACCTCTCGTTCTGATCATTAAATCGCTGCAGCCTTCTGAAGCCAGCAGGACAGATACCTTAATTAGCTAGCTTGGTTAAAAATATTGTGTACGTTAAGCAGACAGTGCTTTTACCGGCAACCTGCAATCCACAATGCTAACCCAAGATGAACTCTTTTTAAATCTCCAGGTGACGTATCCAAGCCAAGCCTGGCAGCCTCTTGGCGAAGAGAGCTACTTATCATTCCAGCTCCCCAAGTACGGAATGCAAGGGAGATGAGCAAACAGACAAATGGATGAAATGATACAGACTTGGAGACGATCTAAGGATGTGTATGGATATGCAAATAGAGGATTAGAGGGAAGTGGGCATGAAGAGGGGAGGGACTGACGGAGAGACAAAGTGAGCGAAGACAAGAACATGCTACTCGACACCGGGAGATTAAACAGGTTTCTTGGCTTGGTGACGTTATATGAAACACAGGGCAATTTGGAGAAGCCCTGTCTTACTCTAAACTGCACAATAAACTCATACTGCTACATTCACTTGAGTGAAATGATTCTTCCAACTGTCTTTGGAATGTTACAGGATTTTCAACCGCTCACATGCAGGTAAAGATCAGATTTTATCACTGTGTTTATTCGCAGTAGTCTTAGTCATAGTGGTAGAATTATACTAAGTGTTGTAGGTTCTCATCCATTCTGAAAAGCATGGGAACGAGAAATAGCAAGCTCATTCTGCGTTTTACCGTTAGAACGACAAAAATACACACTCAACGTGATGCAGTTAATTGAGGTAACTCAGGAAACAACAAAAAAAGCTGACTTTTAAAAGAAGAGTGAAGTATTCTAAGGTCAGAGAAAAGACTTACTAGATAGAGTTTAGTCACTTAAATGGAAAAATAAAAAACATTAAGGAACACCTTAATGCAGGTATTTTTCTCAAAATGCAACTCATAAACGAGCATAACGGTGGTTTGTTTAAATAACTTAAATGTACTTGAAGTGTTCAGCTGTTTTATCTTTGAAAAAACAAGAATCGGATAGGCGCTCGTGATGGCAGACACTTCATTTTAAATGACTAAGATCTCGGATCGGGACTCCCCTTTATTTTTATTAGTCAATTTATTGAACATGTCAGAAACAAAACATACAACAATAATAATAATATATACTGTATTTATTTTTTACTTATAATAATAATTATAATAAAGTACAAAATCTTTGAATAAAAAATAAATAAATTCTCAAAGAGTCTCTGTTATATTCAACAGGGGCAAGCTTAAAATAACTTTTCTGGTCCTACCCCCTCTAGCGTACATTTTCCTTATAAATAAGATATTAGGTCATCGTCATCAGCGTCATGTTTGTCTTGTTTTTTTTTTCTCAAAACAATCAAAAAGAAATAATTTTACAATTACAAGAAATAACAAATATGATTTTACAGATCCTGCTCATAACCATTCATGATTTGGCTCCTAAATAATACTTTCAGTTTAGATAATTCAGTGCATCATTACAGTTATTCCACAGACTAACACCTTTTGATGAGATGCAATGAAGTTTGGAATTTGTTCGTACGGGTGGTTTTTTGAAAATGCAGTTTCCTCTCAACGTGTATGTTTTCTCTCCATGTGAAAAGTCCCTGGATATTATGAGGTAATTGTTGATTTGCGGCTTTGAACATAATTTGAATAGTTTTATAGTCAACCAGGTCTTGTAGTTTTAGTTTGATAAATAATTCATTTGTTGGTTCTCTGTACGTAGTTTTATGTATAATTCGTATGGCTCTTTTTTGCAGGACGAAGATAGGATGTGTATTTGTTTTGTATGTGTTCTCCCAAACTTCCACACAGTACATCATGTATGGAAGTATGAAGGAGCAGTACAGCATAAACAAGGAAGCTTGATTCATTAGGTCTTTGGCTTTATTCAGAATTGCTATTGATTTGGATATGTTGGCTTTGATATAGCTTATATGTGGTTTCCAACTTAATTTATTGTCTATGATTACTCCAAGGAATTTTATATCCGATACTCTGTCTAATTGGACGCCATTTATAGTGAGTTTCTTCTCTGTGTGGGTTGATCGATTCCCAAATATTATGAGTTTGGTTTTACTTGCGTTCAATGTTAATTTATTTTGATCAAACCAGATCTTCATCCTGCTACCGTGTCAAATGCTTTTTTAAGGTCCAGAAATATCCCAAACAGTCAATATCTACATACCCTTGTGTAACGGATTCCGTTACCTTTTTATCTATT